GAGGACAGTGGAGAAGTGAGACAGGACAGGACCCCCAGAGGGGTCAGCAAGGGAGACTGCAACCGGCCGGCCGAGCGGAGTAAGGGTAGTGCGGTCTCGAAAGAAGGAGCGAGAAGCCCCGGAGTCAAGTGTGAAAGTGAGGGAGGACGAGGACGACGCAGTACCTGAGAGCGCAGTCTCACCAGTACCTGAGAGCGCAGACGCACTGGCACCTAGAGCAGCAGCCTCACAAGCACCTAGCGCAGCAGTACCAATGCCCGGGTCGGGCTGGAAACACCGGTAACCCTCATTCTCCTCACTGTAAGTCACAGCATACATAGCAGCAAGGATAGCATCAAAATCAAGATCAAAGATCGCTACACCAGCCCTAAGAAGCTCATCCCAGCGAGGGATCTCACTAGCCCCAGGGAACTGCTGACGCCAAGCGTCCGTCAGGCGGCCAAAGCAGCGCTGGGTGGCGTGGGCACCCCCACACTGCTCACCCGCGCGGTCGCCGGAACGAAGAACGTAGGTGCAGGGACCAGTACCCCCACCCCTCTGACGCCCAGCGTACCACTCACGAAGCTGCTGAGGCGGAGGGATGTCCCGCGAGCGCTGCTGCTGCTGCCGCTGCGAGCGCTGGCCACCACCACCGCCGCTACGCTGCTGGGTACCACCCCGACCAGCTCCACCTCCTCCACCACCACCGCCTCCTCCGCTGCCGCCTCCACCGCTTCCACCTCCGCCGCCTCCACCTCTGCCGCTGCCTCCACCACCACCGCTGGCACCACCACCACCGTCTCCGCCGCTGCTGCCACCACCACCACCACCCCCGCCACTAGTCCCGCCGCCACCCCCATTCCCTCCGCCGCCACCGCCGCCACCGCCACCGCCCCCTCCAGCTCCACCCGCGCCCTTGCCCCCCTTGCCCTTGCTGGAGCGACGTCTCCTACTAGGGGCAGACGCCGCGCCGACCGACTCAAGACCAAGCAGGTCGGCAGCAGCAGCAGAGGCAACAGAGGGCAGCAAGGGGGAAGGAGAGCACCCCTCAAAGATGGGGGTGCGAGGGTCACCACGAGAAGCACCTACAGCGACTATGCTCTTCTCCGCTGCGAGGAGGGCCTTCTCGAGGAGGTCGACGGTGAGGGTGGTGGGACAGACTGCGAGAAAGTGGTCCCTGACGACGCGAAGGGAGTCAGGGAGGCGCGCGACTACGTAGTAGAGAGCGATGTACATGGGGGGTGGGTTCTTAGCGCAGAACTCAGCAGGAAGGGCGGCGCGGTAGCGAGTGTCACTAGTGCGGAGGTGCGTAATGAGGTCAGCGACAGTGGGAAAGGCAGAGAGGTCAGGAAAGAGGTAGGGAAGCATGAGACGGCTCAGTGCAGCAGTGGCAGGGGAGGAGTAGCGCGCAACTACAGCGTCGTACAAGGTCTGAGCACTCTTGTACTGACTAAAGTGCGCACGCTCAGAGGTAGGGAGGTGGCGACGCACAGCAAGACGTGCAGCAGCATCGCGGGTGGCCCACTGAGAGCGGACAGTGGGATCAGCATCAGCAGCAGGAGCAGGAGAGGCGCCAGAGGTGAGGTCAAAGAGAGAAAGGCCGTCAGCCCTGTCGCACTGTAAGAACAGCTGCAGGTCGTCTAACCAGACCTCAAAATCAATGGCGCGACCCTCAGCGTCAAAAGCTAGGACACTAGGGGTAGCCATGGCGACGACAGCGACGCAGTGCAAGCAGTAGGGAAAGAGCTCGCAGTGACAGTGGGACTGTGCTCACCAGGCAGGGCAGGTCGTGCAGCTCTGCAGAAAGGCGGCTCGGCGACCGGGCGGCTCGGGTGCACAGCGGCTCGGCTCCCGGGCGGCTCGGCGGCTGGGCGGCTCGGGCGCAGGGCGGCTCGGCTCCCGGGCGGCTCGGCGGCAGGGCGGCTCGGGGGCAGGGCGGCTCGGCTCCCGGGCGGCTCGGCGGCAGGGCGGCTCGGGTGCAAGGCGGCTCGGGTCCCGGGCGGCTCGGCGACTGGGCGGCTCGGGCGTTGGGCGGCTCGGCTCCCGGGCGGTTCGGCTGCACTGCTGCCCGACTGCTGCAGTTGTGGCGGCGGGGCCGCGTGAGAGAGCCGAGGCGGGGACGCATGAGGGCCGGCGGCGGGGCCGCGTGAGAGCCGGGGCGGGGCCGCTTCAGAGCCGGCGGCGGGGCCGCAAGAGAGCCGGGTAGGGGCCGCGTGAGGGCCGGCGGCGGGGCCGCGTGAGAGCCGGGGCGGGGCCGCTTCAGAGCCGGCGGCGGGGCCGCAAAAGAGCCGGCGGCGGGGCCGCTTGAGAGCCGGGGCAGGGGCCGCGTCAGGGCCGGCGACGGGGCCGTAAGAGAGCCGGCGGCGGGGCCTGGAGAGGGCCGACGGCGGGGCCACGTGAGAGCCGGGGCGGGGCCGCAAGAGAGCCGGCGGCAGGGCCGCGTAAGAGCCGGGGCAGGGGCCGCGTAAGAGCCGGGACGGGGCCACGGAAGAGCCGGGGCGGGGCCGTGAGAGAGCCGTCGGCGGGGCCGCGTGAAAGCCGGGGCGGGGCCGCGCGAGAGTAGGCGGCGGGGCCGCGTAAGAGCCTGGGCGGGGCCGCGACAGAGCCGTCGGCGGGGCCGCGTGAAGGCCGGGGCGGGGCCGCGTAGGAGCCGGGGCGGGGCCGCGTGAGAGCAGGCAGCGGGGCCGCGTAAAGGCCGGGGCGGGGCCGCGACAGAGTCGGCGGCGGGGCCGCGTGAGAGCCGGCGACGGGGCCGCGTAAGGGAGGGCGGCGGGGCCGCGTCAGTGGAGGCGGCTGAGCCGCAGGGGAAAAGGCGACCCGAGGGGTCGCTAAAAAAAATCGCGCCTCGGGGCGCGCTTCGGTGGGCCCAAAAAAAAAACGGTCCTTAGAAGGACCCGCTCTATACCATGTGAGAATAAGCGAACAGGAATGAATGAACTAGCAGTGAAAATGAGTACAAGTAGGAAACCCTAGAATTGTGTACCCCCTATAGGCTAACCCACTGTAGCCTACACAAGCATAACATATATAATGTTTGACAGACTCAGACTCAAACATTTCTGGAGTCTGACCCTACAGAGTAAACTTCCTGTGGTCCCTGGATGCGAGTTTATCGAGACGAAGCTTCTTGGAAATTTCCTTCCAATATACCCACTTTGAGCAGTAAAAGTGCCAGCACGTGAGCAAGGCACGGTGCACCAGCTGTTTGACACTCGAATGCACTCGATCTTCACGATCATCATGCAGTGCTAAGGGCGTGTCTCTTTTTTGCTTTTATGGATTTTGACGGACTGTCCGGTTGTATGTAAACGGACAGTTGCAATAGCGAGTTTCGGACAGTCCGATTCAAAATTTCAAAACATTGGACAGTACGAAGGCAAAAGCATCACTTTCCCGAGTGCATCAGTATTCCAAAGTACTGTAGCATCGCCAGGCATCGTACACTCACGTAACCTCAGTCACACCCCATCGCCAACTTCGCATAGCTAGGCCGCGACTCGATGCCCCCTGAAAGCCAATCGTCAACCTTCTACATAGGCTATACCACACCAATTCAGTAAACAACGTCGAGGCACACACACGTAGCACTATCAAAACAGAACGATTGCAACGCCATGTCTAGGAGGCTGCTCCTATCAGTGCTCCACCTGCTTTAGGGAGGCTACCACGAGTTCATCGTCCGTCCAGCCTTTGAACAGCTCACGGATATCATTCTACTGCTTGAGGACGATGACCGCAACACGATGCGTAATGACCGTAGGAACCAGCGGGCACGATGGGATGTCCTTCTCGACTCCTTGCCTTACCGCATATTCATTGAAACGTTTAGAGTTAATCGGGCGGTGTTTGACTACCTAGTGGAGGCGTGGATAACGCGGAACGGGGACCGTCGTCGTGTAGTGCCCATTGAGACAGTGGTGGCTATGACTCTAGTGTATCTTGGCACGGGTGGCACATTCCGTCAGGTGGGATTGCAATTTGGGATTGCAACATGCCTTCCGCCTCATCTACAGGTTCATAGCGTTCATTGTCAACGTGTTGGAGCCTCTGTGGGTTACACACCCCACCCTTGACCAATGTGCAGAAATGGCGGCAGAGTTCACTTACGAGGGGGGGATACCGGGTGTCATAGGGGCATTGGATGGGACTTTTATAGAATGCAGGGGGTTCGGACGCGACAAAGAAGACTTCAAAAACAGAAAGGGGTTCTACTCTATCCACCTACAGATAGCTTGTGATAGCAACGGCATTATCTGGGACTACAACGTCGGCTATCCGGGGAGTGTGAATGACGCGCGGGTGTTCAACAACTCACCCCTCCGAGAGTGCATGGAAGCAGGGGATTTAGGCAACTACATGCTGGTGAGCGACGCCGCGTATGCCTTGAAAAACTACACATGCGTCCCATGGCGTGCTACACCGGGACGAGCTCTGCCAAGGGCTAAGGACAAATGGAACACACAACAGTCAAGGCAACGGATGGTGGTTGAACAAGTGAACGGGAGATTGAAGGGGAAATGGCGGATCCTTGATGCTCGTATGGAGTGCCATAGTGACCGCGTCCCGCAGGTCGTGAGCGCGTGCGTCGCGATGCACAACATCGAGCTGACGATCGGTAGCCGCGATCGACTTGGCCCACCAAGCGAGCGGAATCGTTGGTGGCTCGAGGGTCCGGCGTCACGGCTTCGACTCACCGGCTCCGAGGTCCGCGGGTTCACGCCTCGTCTTCGGATGAAGAGGTGGACTGCGGCGATCTACGCCTCCTACTGCGTCGCTCATCCGCGAAGCCGCGAAACACCTCCCGGGTAAGCGCCACGAACTTGCTCCAGTTCTCCTCTTGACGCTTGTCGTTATGGTCGCGGAGCTCTCGAACAAGATCCGCCGTGCTCTGGGCTCTGGATCGCCCAGTAGATTTCCGACCTTGGCCCTTTGATCCTGTGTTACCCCCCTTGCCAACCTTGCCTTCTGGCTGCTGGCGAGGATACTGATACCATGCATGCCGGCTGCATCCCTCTTGCCCATCAGACGACGCGAGCGCTCCCCCGACTTGGCGACGACCACGGATCGAGACACCCGTCGTCGCACCTGATTCCGTCGCGGCGGCAGTAGGAGACGCCGACGGGATGGTGTCTGGCGATAGAGGGGACGTATTCCCGCGGCGGGTTGCATTGTCTCGAGCAGGGGAAGGTGCAGGTGACGCGGGCGGGGGATTGGGAGTTGGAGATGTGGGCACCACCACTCCAGTCAGCGTGGTCTCAATAGCCACCGGGGGGTTGGAGGGTATGGGATGCGGGAGTGGCGGGAAAGGCGGTGGTAGCGCGATGCTGGGAGCCGGACTGTCCGTGTTCGAGGCGGCATTCGGTGTATGCGACGGGGACGTCGCATTCGTTGTAGATGGCCGACGACGAGCGTTTGCGGGAGGTGGCGTTACCGTCGCAGACCTGGAACTTGTGGCTCGATTGACGCCCGTGCCTGCAAGTACGGGGGGGATGGTACTTGGGCGCTCACCCCATAAAGCGTCGCCGAGGTGGAACCAAGGAGGCAGACCAGTGGCGCGTCCCGCCCCCGAGCGCTTGATGCGATCGTTGATGCGGCGCCACTGCTCCTTCATGCGATTGTACTTGGCTTTAAGAGCGGAAATGTCGTGGCGCCACGCCGGATTTTGCAGCAGGAGCTCCTCCTGGATGAGCGGATACCAGCTTCGGCCTTGCTGACCCGTACGCGCGCAGATTTGGGCCTGGCGGGAGATGAAAGCGGCGAGGACCTCGCACTCCTCCTCTGGGGTCCAGCGCGGCTGCGTCCTCCCCGTAGATCTGCGTGACGGAGCGGTGGTCTCGCGGGTCGGGGACATCTCCTGCTCAGCGAGCTCCTCCTCAACCTCCCCGAGCGTCGCGGCGTTGTCCATATCTGCGCCTAGTCCGTAGTCGTCGTCGGCGTCGTATGAGGCTGTGGGAGACGGGATGTGGAAGACCCTCCAGTCAACTTGTGCGTTGGTGGTTGTGGTCGGGGTTTGAGCATTGGCGGGAGTGGGATTTTGAATATGAGACTCTTGTGTCTCTGGTGCAGCAGCATCCGGATCAGGTTGGGTAGAGGTAGTAGGGACGGAGGTGTTGGGTGTGGTGTTTGCCGGTCCAGAGTTCTCATTTCCGCTGGACTGCTCCATTGCGTGCTGATTGTGGTGGTTCGGTTCGAAAAGGAATCGTCTTTGTAGTGTAGACGGGCTAGTGGGGGTGTCTACGGTTCAATGTTCTATTTGGCGCCGCGCGCCCAATATTTTGTTTAGACATGCGGCTCGGTGTTTTTTTTCGTTTTTTCGCGCGCCAATCAGATGTCAGAGATTGAATTCCGTCCGTTTGCACGTCGAACTGACAAAGGTCCACATTGTGAACCGTTGCTTGGAGGGAAAAGTGATGTGACGTTTCGAACAGTGGGCGAAATCGCGAAGACCATGGCGAAAAAGTTGCGAAACAATGCGAAATAGGTAACCTTTTCGCGAGCCGGACGGTCCACGGTTCGAACCGTCAGCGTAAAAAAAGAGACACGCCCTAATGGTGTTAATGGTAAGTGGTGAAGCGGGAAATTTAACGGAGCCAAACTGGGAAATCTAGCCGATTGCTCAACAAATCGGCGAATAGAACAAAGAATCGTTGGAAGATAAGTTCTCCGCACATTTGGTATATCGCAATGTTTGGTGCTTTGAGACTTTTCTCCGTGCCAAAACGTGTGACAATCACCTAAATCTCAATGAAAAGGAAAGAGATTGGTGCACCCAAGGTGTAGGCTGGTCAGAAAATGATTTCGCTGCTGATTCGTACAACGCTGCCGAACAAGTTACGTGCAGCACTGCCTGGTTCTCCCACACCAAGCGACTGTTCTTGACTGCTGCCAGCTCAGCTGCGAGGCAGCTCGCTTGCTGGCACTTCCAAAGTCACGCGACAAGTGCCCCTTGCATTGCTAGCATCACACATGAACTGGAACAGTCAGAGCAAGCCACAGACAAACAATTGCTATAAATAGCGACAAAAATTTGGCTCTCACGCGACACTTGGAAAAATGCGACAAATCACACAAGTATCCTGCAGCGCTGATCATGTTCCCTGATGCGGATCCGCCGACCCTGATTGGTCAGACTGTCTGACTTCAGGGCACTGACCAATCAGAGTGCCTCATTTCTGGCCGAAGTGCCTTCAGAGTAATTTTTTTTTTTTGGGGTGAAGATCAGAGTGCTTGAATTTGAAGCGCCAGCCCTGACGTCGCCTCTTGTTGCTCTTGAAGGGCATAAATTTGTGAGGGAATTGAAGTGGTTGTATGGAAGAATCCTCCGTGCAATAGACGCAGCACATGTCATGGAGGAACCATTTGCGGGACGGTGTTCAGGCAAAGCAAAACACACATTCCCATCCCAAATCATGCGACAAATTGCTTTGCCCACACACACCATGCCTCCCACATCCATATCATCATGCTCCTCATCCTCAAAACCTCCTCTTGAGACATCTTAAAGGCCACTCAGTAATCACCAGCCAGCCACTCATCAATGAACACATAGCCCCACCCCGCCTCCTCCCAGAACCTGCTTCCCCACCTCGACCCCTACTCTTCCTCCCATAGCCCCCTACTCTTGCTCCCATTACCCCCTACTCTTTCTCTTATTATCCCCCTACTCTTCCTCCCATAACCCCCTACTCTTCTTCCCATAGCCCCTCCATTTCATCGCTCTCTTCATTCCCCTCGTGAGCATCCATGAATCCTCCCTCCCCCTCGTTATAGTCACCTCCTCTCCCCTCGTTGTAGTAACCTCCTCCTACTCCTCTTCCTCCTCCTCTTGCCCCTGCAGCACCAAACCCTCCACTGCTGTGCCCAAAACGGCCGCCGCTGCCCTCTCTGAAGTCACGATCGGAATAGTCACCACCAGCACCAGTACCATCACTATCATCCCCATCATCATCACCACCACCACCACTACCACCACCATCGCTATAGCCAGCGCCAGCAACAACACCACCACCATCACCACTACCACCACTGTAACCAGCAGCAGCACCAGCACCACCACCACCACTCACCCCAGCAGAAAAAACAGCATAGCCCTGCCCACCCCCACTTCCCCTCTCTGCTCCTCCCCATCCTCCTTCCCTCCTCCCCTCTCCTCTCTCTGCCTCCCCTCCTGCCATCACCCCTGTAATTCTCCTCCTCACTCTCCTCCTCTTCACCTTCGCTTCTGCAAAAGGTATTCCCCCACTTCCCCCCTCCCCATCGCTCCCCTCCCCTCCCCCAACTCCTCCCCCTATTGCTCCGCCCACTCCTCCCCCTCGACCTTCTTCCGTCCCCTCTGCTTCCCCATCCCCTTGAATGCCAATAACTGCAATGTCTGCAACCTTTGCCCCCCTCCCCCTGCCTCTCCCCCTCCCCCTCCCCCTCCCTCTCCCCCGCCCCCCTCCTGCCCTCCCCGCCCCTCCTCTCCCCCTTCCCCTCCTACCACCCCCTCTCCCCCTCCCACCCCTTCCCCTTCCCCTCCCCCCCTCCACCACCCCCTCTCCAACCCCCACCCCTCCCTCCCCACCCACATCCACACTCTCCTCTCTCTCACTCTCATCCACCCCTAACACTTCCACCCCTTCCTCCTCTCCACCTCCTCTCCCTTCTTCCCCTTCCCTCCTCTCCACTTTCAGTCTCTTCCTCTCCCTCCTCTGCATCAACCTCTCAGCCTTCTCTGTTAAAATCTCCTGGGCGTCCCTCCCCTGCTCAATCACCTGAAGCCACTGCGACTCACTCAGCGCATCCGTATAAACCACCTGCTTCCTCTTCCTCCTCCCCATCTCCACCCCCACCCCATCCTCCCCCACAGCCCCCTCCCCACCCTCCCCTCCCTCCCCCCCCTTGAAAAACACCCACTCCGGCACCTCGTCCTTTTCCATCAGTCCAAGCCGCGCCGCCCCAAACTGCCGCCTCCGCATCTCATCCATCCGCTCAAACATCTCAAACTCCTCCTCCGATCTCGAAATCAACCGATTCGTCTCACTCTCATCCGGCAAATCAAGAGCCAAATCGGGAATCTTCCCTCGCTTCATAATCTGCTCCAATAGCTCTCTCCTCTCCTGTGCCGTCGACGTGGTATTGAACATGCCCGCTTGAATCACCTTCGCGTCGATCCCCATCTTGCTTTTTGCCCTCTCTAAAATCTCCTCCTCTATAGACCCCACGCTCACAAGCACAAACACCCGAACCTCCCGCTTCTGCCCAATCCTGTGCGCCCGATCCTCTGCCTGCTGATCCATCTGTGGATTCCAATCAGAATCAAATAAAATCACCGTATCGGCCGTTTGCAGGTTCAGCCCCAGGCCGCCCGCACGCGTGCTCAGCAGGAAGATAAAATACGGCGAATCCGGAGCGTTGTACAGCTGTAAAAGGCGGCCTCGTTCGTCTGTTTTGGTCATGCCGTCCAGACGCAGATAAAGCATGCCGACCGATCGCAGGTAATCCTCTAACAAATCCATCACCTTAGTCATCTGAGAGAACATTAAAATCCTGTGCCCCCCGGCCTGTAACTTGGGCAGAATCCGGTCCAGCAGCTCAAACTTTCCACTTGCCCGAACGCGCTCGTTGGGGGAATTCGGCTGGTAGGGATGGTCGAGTGCGTCTAGTAGAAAGAGGTACGGGTGGTTGCAGCACTTGCGCAGCTGCATGGCTGTGTTCTGAAGCGCTCTGGATTTGCCTCCTCCCCCGCTGTCGTCTAGGCCGACGCAGCCGGCGGAGACGATTTGGGAGTAGTACTCGCGCTGCCATGCGGACATGTCGCATTTGAGGATCACTTGGCGCTTCTGTGGGAGGAATTTCTCGACTTCGGATTTTTTTTCGACGGAGAATAAAGGGACGGATGACCTGGGGAGAAGGGGGGAGGAGAAGGGGAGGAGAAGGGGAAGGGAGGGGGAAGGGAGTAGGATAAGAAACGGAGGGCAGTGGAGACGTGAGGAAAGAGTAAAGGAGGGGGCGATTTGGGAGTGGTATTCGCGCTGCCACGCGGACATGTCACATTTGAGGATGACTTGGCGCTTCTGAGGGAGGAATTTCGCAACCTCTGACTTGTTTCGACGCACGATGAAGGGCCGGATGACCTGTGGAGGGGGGAGGAGAATGGGCGGGGAAAGGGGAGGGTTTTGATGGTAGGGGAAAGGGGGAGATCACTCGTTGGCACTTCTGAGGGAGGAATTTCTCAACCTCTGACTTCTTTCGACGCAGGATGACCTGGGGGGGGTGGGGGGTCGGGGGAGTGGGGGGAAGGGAGGGTAAACGAGGAGATGAGTTGCGGTGAGTTCACTTGTCGCCACTTCTGAGGGGGGGACTTCTCAACCCCAGACTCCTTTCGACGCAGGATAAAGGGATGCAAGACCTGTGTGGGCCGATGGGGGTTAAAGGAAGAGAGGGAGGGTAGGGGACAGGAGGAGAAAAAAAAAGGGGGGGGAGGGAAGGAGGAATGGAACGCAGGGGAAGGCCAGGAGGAAAAAGATCGGAGTCAGTCACATTGCACTTATCCGAACACAGTGCATTAAAACCTTAAGAAAAAAGGAGATCAACCCACCTGGTGCAGCCTCCGAATGACCAGCAGCTGCTCCTGCTCGTTCAGAGACACGCCTGCTTTGCAACCAGCCAGGTCAAACCAAACGCACCTGGTGCAGGCGTCAAATGACCAGCAGCTGCTCCTCCTCGTTCAGAGACACGTGGCACTTATCCGCAAACGGCGCATTACACCTACCTACCAACACCAAACCAAACGCACCTGGTGCAGGCGTCGAATCACCAGCAGCTGTTTCTCCTCGTTCAGAGACACGTCGCACTTATCCGCAAACGGCGCATTGAACCAGTCCTCGAATGTACCACGCATGCTTCAAACCAGTCACACCTGTTTTTCCTGTGTTCCTTTGTTCCTTTGTGTTCTTTTCAGGAAGAAGGGAGAGGGGGAGGAGGGGGAGGGGGAGGAGGAAGAGGAGAGGAGGGATGGAAACATTTCAGAATAAACCCACCTGGTGCAGCCTCCGAATGACCAGCAGCTGTTCCTCCTCGTTCAGAGACACATCGCACTTATCCGCAAACGGCGCATTGAACCAGTCCTCAAAATTGTCGCTCGAGTTGAAAATTGCGGGCAGAAGAAAATTCAGCAGTGCCCAGAGCTCCCCGAGGCTGTTCTGAATCGGCGTCCCGGTCAGCAAAAGTCTTTTCCGGATCGAGTAACCAGCCACCAGCGTTTTACTAAGTACCGACTCGTGGTTCTTAAGCCGGTGACCCTCGTCTACTATCACATAGTGCCACTTAATCTTTTTTAGGAACGCCTTATCCCTGATAATAAGGTCATAGTGCGTCAGAAGCACACTGAACTTATACTCTTCCCCTTCTGGCCCAGTCACTCCCCCTCCTCCCCCTCCTCCCCCCACTCCCCCCACTCCCCCTCCTCCCCCCACTCCCCCTCCTCCCCCAGACTCCTCACTCCCCCAATCATCATCCACCACACTCCCTCCTCTCCCTCCCCTCCCTCCTCGCCCTCCCCCCCTCCACCCGCCCCTCCTCCCTCCTCCTCCTCTCCTCCCTGCAAGCGCCCCTCCAAACTTCTCTCTCAGAAGCTTCCTCTCGTCCTGCCTTCCATCATACATCACCACACTGCAAGAGGGAAACCACGCCGCAAACTCCACTCCCCAGTTCGGAAGCACAGCCTTGGGAGCCAACACCAGATGCGGGCCGTAATCGCCCTTTTTCTCCGCCATAAACGCGATAAAAGCGATCGTTTGTATGGTTTTCCCGAGCCCCATTTCGTCCGCCAAAATGCCATTTAAATTGTTATTATAAAGGGAGACCATCCACTGTAACCCCTCCATCTGATACTGCCGAAGCTGCCGCCCGGGTGACAATAACGAGGGCTGCTCCGTCACCTTCTCTTCTATCGAATGCACTGCTCGATCATACCGCCTCTGCCCCTCCATTAAGTCACGCTTCGACTGCCCTGCTGCCCCCTCCTGCGGCCCCTCTTGCCCCTCTCCTGTCCCCCCTCCCTCCCCTCCTGCTCCCCCATCCGCCTCTGCTGCTCCCCTCCCCTCACCTCCCCCAAAAGCAACATCAACCCCTCCTCCACCCCCCACACCACCTCCCACACCACCCTCCCCACCACCACCCCCACCCCCACCAGCATCTTTCTGTTTCTGAACCATCGCCCCCAGCCTCTGTAAAAGCTCATCCGTTTTCCCTAAAAGAGTATGCAACCTCTCGTTCTTACTCTCCTCCACTAGTTTGAAATACGCCTCCTGATCCCCAGCTTTAAGTGCCTGCACTCGCATTCGCTCAGCACGCGACGCCCGCTGCTTCTGACGCGCGTGCCACGTCAGCACGCCGTCGCTCCGCTGCTTCCGCCGCCGCTGCTCCGCCAGGCTGGCCGCTGACATGTCGCGCCCCGCCTGCGCCACGTCAGCGAAGAACCGGGCGGCGGATTCTACCGAGTCTGCCGCCCGACGGGCCCGTCGAGCCGCCTTTGGAAAGGAAAGGGGGAAGATGGGGGGTGGGGGGAGATGAGGTTGGGAAAAAGGTTGGGGGAGGTAGAGTAGTGGGCGAATGGAAAGGGGGGAAGAGCACGGAGGGGAGATTGGGGAGGAACAAGGGATGGCAGCTTGAATCACTATTGAAATCACAAACACCAAAATACAGAAAAACTGACCACACAACAAAAAACACATCTCACAAATAGGGGAAAAACTAAACGACAAAAAAGTAAACAAAAAAACCACAGACAGGGTGATAAATCAACCACCAAACCCACCTCAATCGCCTCAGAAGCTTCAAAATCCAAATCCAAAACCCCGCCAACACCAATTCCATTAACACCAGCCCCACCACCAGCAGCCCGAGCAGCCGCCGCCGCCGCCGCTGCAGCATCCCTCTTCCTTGCCTCTATCTCAAACCCTAACCCCTCCTCATAGTAATCCTCGTCCCATAAGTCTTCCACCTCAGCCTCCACCTCCCACGCCTCCACATCCTCCTCTGATGGCTTCATGCCAGGTGGCAGCTGCCACCTCAGCATCGCGCGTTCCACGTCAGCATGCGTCAGACGCAGCAGGCTCCAGTCCAGCAGCGGCTGGTGCCGCCCATGTGCCACGTTGGCCTTCATGATTCTCTCTTCCTCCTCCTTTCTCACTCGCTTCTCTCTCTCCTTATCCACTTTCTCACTCTCATCCCCCTCTCCCAATACCTCTATCTCACTCTCACTTTCAACTGCTCTCCATTTCTTCCCCACCCGCCCACTTTCCACTGCCACATCTTCTACCACTTTGACTGTATCCGATTCGTCATCGGCCAGCTCAGCACGTGCCACGTCAGCATCTGCCACGTCAGCATGCCCGTTCACCGAACGACCAGTCAGCTCCCCGCCCGAAGCCCAGTCAGCGATCCTCTTCTCAGCTAGCACCTCAAAACGAACCTTCCTCTGCAACCCACGAAGCTTCAGGCACCTGAGCTGGATCTCCAATGATCTCCTGACAGCTGGCGCCTGCACAACCGCCAGCAAGGATTCCAGTTTCACAATCCTCTCTCCCACTTTCTCACTCTCCTCCCTCTCCCCTTCCTCCACGAGCTTCCCCCACTCCCCCTCTCTCACCATCTCCCTCCCCACCCTCACTCTCTCCTCTGCCGCCCGCCTGATCCTCCTGAGCGCCTCGACCTTCTGACGCACCAGCTGCGGCGGGAAAAGGCCCGCCAGCTGGCGGTCCGTGAGTGGCTGGCCAGCCGCCAGCGTGGCGAAGCAGTCGCGCTGCGATTGGAGGAGGGAGAGCTGAGCTGGCGTGAGGGATAAGAGAGGGGCGGCGGGCGTAGGACTAGGAGGAGGAGGAAAGGGGGGAGGGAGGTGTGAGGATGGAGCAAGAGCAGCAGGAGGGGGATGGGGTGGAGGAAGAGGAGAGGGAAGAGTATTGGTAGCAGAGAGGGGTTCTGCAGCAGAGACAGGGGCATGAGCTGGGGGTGGCGGTGTGGGCAAGAAGGAAGATACTCTAGTGGCCGCATCAGCTGGTGCGTCAGCAACAGGTGAGTCAGTAGTATCCGCAGCAGCACCCACTCCAGTCTCTGCCTTCACAGCAGCAGCAGAGATTTGAGCTGACTCGGGAACCTCAGCATCGCTGGGCAACTCGAGTGAGTTAATACCAGCTGTCACTTGAGCGTCCAGCTGAGCGTCAGGCAGCTCAGCACAGCCAGGAACACTCTGGGTTACACCCTGGGTTGCACTCCGTGTTACAGCCTGTGTTACACTCTGGGTCGCACTCTGTGTTACAGCCTGTGTTACACTCTGCGTTGCACTCTGCGTTACAGCCTGTGTTACACCCTGGGTTACGCTCTGTGCTGCAGCAGCCTTGACTGGTACACTTGCCACATCCAGCACAAGAGGCCTCTCGTGAGTAGGCACCTGCTGCACAGCAGTGCTCTCTGTTGATAGTTTTTCAGTCGACTCAACAGCTGCCGTGTCCTGTAGAGCAGTCTTGAGTGCTGGGATCTGCATTACTATGCCATTCGTTATAGGCACGTCTGCTGATGCCGCTGGTGCACTCACTGCAGCTGCTGCTGCGACATCAACAAGAAGAGGAGTGGCAGCAGGAGCGGAAGCAGGAGCAGTTGCTAACAAATCCTCGCGTGCACTGTTTTCGTCAGCTGCTGCTGCTGCCCCCTCCTCCTCATGTGGCCCCTCTCCCTTTTTCTCCTCTTCCCCCATTGCCCCTATTTCCATCCCCTCGTCCCCCTTCTCTTCTTCCTCCCTCGCCTCTCTTCCTGGCTCCTCTTCCCCCGCCTTCTCTCTTCGTGTCACGTCGTCCCCCTTCTCACCGCTTCCTGACTCCGCTTCCTTCATCTCCTCATCCCCATCATCCATTTCACCCGTCAGTTTTCTCCCCTTCTCCTCTGCCCCCTTATCTTCTCCCCTCTTTTCCTCTCCCCCCTTATCCTCTCCCCCCTTATCCTCTCCCCCCTTATCCTCTCCCCCCTTCTCCTCTCCAACCTTCTCTCCCCCCTTCTCCTCTCCCCCCTTCTCCTCTCCCCCCTTCTCCTCTCCCCCCTTCTCCTCTCCCCCCTTCTCCTCTCCCCCCTTCTCCTCTCCCCCCTTATCCTCTCCAACCTTCTCCTCTTCCCCCTTCTCCTCTTCCCCCTTCTCCTCTCCCCCCTTCTCCTCTCCCCCCTTCTCCTCTCCCCCCTTCTCCTCTCCTCCCTTCTCCTCTCCCCCCTTCTCCTCTCCCCCCTTCTCCTCCCCCCCCTTCTCCTCTCCCCCCTTCTCCTCTCCCCCCTTCTCCTCTCCCCCCTTCTCCTCTCCGCCCTTCTCCTCTCCCCCCTTCTCCCCTTTCAACTTCTTCCCTCCACCCTCATCCTCTTTCCCCATCTCCTCATCCCCCTTCTTTTCATCCCCTTTCTCCCCATCCGCCATCTCATCCCCCCCTTTCTCTTCTTGATCTTTCCCTCCCCCTCCTCTCTGCTCCTCCTCGCCTCTTTCTCCCCCCACTCCTCCCTGATCCACTCCACACCCACTCGAAGGAGAAAAATCTCCTCTATCTCCCCCCTTAATGTCACCACTGCCTGTTGCCGCCTCTCCGGCCACTTTTTCAATTCCCCCCAAACCAGCACCTTCCCCATCCCCTTCCCCTTCCGCAAACGCGCCTTCCCCTTGTCCCTCCACCAACGCGCCTTGCCCTTGCCCCTCCGCCAAAACGTCTTCCGCCCCTACTGCCACCACTTCCCCCTCCCGCTGCATTGGGGGAGATCCGCCCACTCCCACGCCCTTCCCCTCACTTGCTTCCGCCCCTCCCCCACCCTCCCCGGCGTCTCCTTCCCCCACTGTTTCGGCGATTCCCCCTTCTCCCGCCAATTCCGCTCCCCTTCCGGCATCTGAACCCAACCCACCACCCGCAACACCAGTTCCGCCTTCCGACGGACCTTCCGCCAGGCCTTCCGCCAGGACTTCCGCGGGCCCATCCGCAGGCTCCGCGGAACCTGCCGCGGAGCCCTCCGCCGGATCCATTGCGCCTGGCCCTCCCTTTACGTCGCTTTCCTTACAAGACTCGCGCGAGTGATTTCAAAGTCTCTCAAACGTCTCGACCCATAAATCACTCTCCTCAGTCTCGAATGCTCAGGTCGACGGGCCGTGGGGACCTTGAGGACAATAAGAACCAACTGTAGAACAAAACGTCTTTTATTTCCGCCTTTAAGAGATTAATATTTTGAGGCGCCTCAAAAGGACAATAAGAACCGAATGTGAAACAAACGTCTTTTATTCCCGCCTTTAAGAGATTAAGGATCCGCTCGGTTGATTCCCGTGGTGGAACGCGAACGCCTCTGCTAAGGGGGAATATGCTGACAACGATCGGTGAAAACAGAATTCAGAAACTAAACAGAAGTTCCTGAAAATCTTCAAAACACCCCGCGCAAGTCGAGACTAGTGGCTCAAGCTCGTGCCCCTATCCGAACCGAGGTCGTCAGGTGGAAGGTTAACACAAGCGGGAGTTTGCAGCGGCCAATCGTCGCTGATCCACCATAGACAAGAGGCAACGCAGAACTACCGAAGTGCTTTTGCCTACAAGCGTGTTTGTGGTTCGATAAAAACCAATAGCGTGACCTTGGGATTAGGTCAAAAGTGCTTTTGGCTTCAAATTCAAACAGACGTATCAGCCAGAGGTGAAGGGTCAGCTAGTGGTAACCTATGCGAAGACTGCGTTTCGCATCGCAACCAACCACATTGAAATTTCGATTCGCGAAAAGGAACGGCAGCATCCTCGTAAGTACATCAATACAATACCCGTGTCATTTCGATAATGAGACAACGCAATTCCCGAATGATGGATCTTTACATCACATTCAAAAATACATTGTTCTGTCAGTCATTATGAGAGCAACGCAATTCGGACACTGGTTGAATGATGCATGGATGGCACGGTTTACGAAATGGAAGCTCCTTGGAAGCGATGTATGCAAGAAATCCCTCGCCATTTGAATGCTGCAATCGATGGTGCGACAGATGGTGTTGAGAGTGATGTGGGCAGGTTGTTGGTGCTCGTGGCCCCTTTGGGCTTGCTGGGTTGAGAATACTCCAATGAGGCTGATAGCTGATCCAAGTTTCGCAAGGCAGCATAATCCCGAACCTGCAGGCCAGGAAGACAAGGGAGACAAATGCATGCTCAGGCTTAAAAAAAAAACAATGGGGAAAACTAATAAAAAACAGGAATAAAACAAAAACAAAACAAAACACATTCGAAGCCATACAAGTCGGCCTACACATGCACGCGCCTCCTGACTCACTTCAAAAGTCGACTTGAATCTCCCCTTCCCCGGCATCACAGCCCTACACTGCTGCCTTCCCTGCCCCTTCCTCCCCTCCCTCCTTTCCCACCACCACCACCACAACCTCCTCACTCCCCCCCTCCCCATCCTCCACCGAATCCTCCACCTTCCTCCCTTGCAAACCCTCCTTCTCCACTCCTCCCTCCTTTACCTCTCCTTCCTTCACCCCGCCTTCCCCTGCTGCCTCCACCACAGCAGCAGCCTCTTGCACCAACGCCACCTCCCCAGCAGCAGCACTCGCTTCAGCAGCAGCCGCCGCAGCTTCAGCCTTCATCCCCGCTTCAGCCTGCAACACCACCCCATAGTACCCCTCATTCCCCTCCATGCAAGTCTTAAGCGCCTCAGTGGCCCCCACACACCGGTCCACTATGCTCTCCCCTGCCTTTTCTGCTGCCTCCACACACCCCTCCCATGCGATAAACTCCTCCCTGCACGGGCCTCCCTTCATGAACTGGCAGAACGGGCAGTCATCTGTACTGTCCTCTTCCTCTCCTGCCTTCTCCTTCCCCTCACCTCCTCCCTCTTTCACCTCTTCTGCCAAAGTCTCCCCCAACGCACTAACCGCTTCACCCACCTCTCTCCCTGCTTCCTCCACGCTCTCCCCTGCCTTTGCCACCTCACTCACCACCGCAGCCACCACTGCTTCCGCCTTCTCCTCCGCTTCTCTCGTCAACTCCGCTCCCTTCGCCTCTAGTTCTTCCACATACCTCGACAGAACATCCACAGCATCAGCAAGAGGAGGTCTCTCGAGAATTTCCTCCGCTTTCTTTTCTACCTCTGCGTTCACATCCTCTGTTTTCTTCTCTGCCTTTGCTCCTAGTTCAGCAACCACGCCTGCTACAGCATCCACAGCGTCGGCTAGAGGGGGGCTTTTGAGAATCTCCTCTGCTTTCTCTTCTGCCTTTGCCTCTAACTCAGCCACATAGCCTGCGAGAGCATCAACAGCGTCAGCTAGAGGGGAGCTCTTATCCTCCGTTTCACCTTCTCCCCCGTCCACTACCACTGTTACGATTATTTCCTCCGGGCCTGCGTCTGCCGAGCCTGCGGCCGCCGAGCCTGGAGACGATTCAGCTTCGGCAGGTTCAGGTGCGGCGGCATCACTTGCTGGTGTGGTGACTGGTTCGGAAGAAGCCGAATCTGTGGGGGCGGCTACCGGTGATGCTGATGCTTGTGGTGCTTGTGGTGCATCTGATGGTGGTGGTGCTGATGATGGTGCCGGGTGGTGGGACTTCGCTGCTGCGGAGGAACGGCGGTCTGATGGAGGGTCAAAGAAGGAGAAAGAGAGCAACACAGGGAGTAAAAAACACTGACCGACTCACCGAATGAAAGACTCACTGACAGGCTGGCTGAAGACTGGCTGAGGGACTAACGGACTGACTGGCTAACCTATCTGGTGACTGACGAACTGACGGACTGACTGACTGACGATTGTTGGTTAACAGCAGCCAACGGCACAGTGGCCCATTGTTTACTAGAAGAAAAGAGCCGTCGTACCTGAGAGAATGCGCTCCCCAACGAGCCCAGCCAACGCGAGACCGGCGGTCAGCAGCACGAAATCTCGGCCGTCCGTCGTTCCGAACCTCTTCTGAAGCGACTCGACAAACGAGGGGATCTCCGCTCCCGCCTTAGCTGCCACCTTGGACGATCCTGACGCAACACCTGAGGAAACTCCTGAAGCTCCTGTTGCTGCAGAGCACACGGTAGTCGTCGACGCGAATCTGGCATTCTGGCAGCTGATTGGCGCATCGCGAACGGGACGCGAAAGAGACTCGACGGTTCGAGTGGCTGCAGCGTCCAGTCTGGCCCGGATCTCGCTTCTTCTCCGGATGTGCCGCGCAGAGGCGGAGGAGAGGAAGCGGAACATCGGGGGAGAGCGTGTAAGGCGGAGAGTTTGTGGAGTGGAGAGTGTGTGGAGTGGAGAGTGTGTGGACAGGAGAATCCGAGAGGTCCAAATGTGCGAACAGGATAGGTAACCCTGTGCGATCGCTTACTTCGCCGGAGAAAAGGGTCGAACGTCCTGGATTCGCAGAAGGAAGATGGATCAGGAAAGGGCGATCGAGGGTGGAGCTGCAGCTGAAGCAAGATCGGTGTTTCGTGCTGAGCTTGCCTGAGGCAGGTGGGAATGCACATGGGGGGATAAGGGAGAAGAAAAACGTTGGTGAGATGACCGCACTTACAACGAAGCTGCGAGCTTTAAGCAAGCTGGATAGCGAATGAAGGTGCAGGTTGGAAGACTGTGATCTAACGGTTCATAAATCAGGCAAGCGATACGAGCCCACTAGGATCAGGGACACCCCTGGATCGTTAGCTGAGTCGATCGGATACCCGTCGACAGGAGTGGCACGGATGAGGTTGAATAAACTAGTTAATATGCGATTACGGGCCGCCAGTACAACTAGGATTGAGTCAACTCAGATATATACGGATCCGACAATGCAATAAGTTACTGCGTAGGTTGGATCGCATCGTCCGCGTCTCGGATCCTGAAATGGCCTCTAAGTCGACAATAAGGAGGCGAAACAAGATCGCATGGAGATTACCGGAGAGGTGACGAAGGGTTTGTATGGCTGAAAGGCAGGATCGGATACAAAGAATAGTTTCAGGAACAGACGGATGAAAAGCGATCTGTAAGAAGCGTTAAACATGCTCTTTCTCACCTTGAAAACGCGGAAGGCGCCTACACGGAAATCGACTCGGATCTGCCTCCACGAGAAAGCGGCTCGAACAAACAGCCTAGTAGAAAGCTGGTCGCACGAGTTTGAGAAGCAACACCCGCAAAACTCACACCCTACGCCCTCTCTCAAGAACCTACTGGAAGAGCTACGCGCACTTCAAAGCTAGAATAGCTACTTAGCTTCTAGCTTAGTGGTGGTGGGGTGGGGTGGTCTAAAATCCATGGCTGTGACAAACCATTGCCTGGCATGGAGCGATGGTTGTTCCGTCAAGCATGGAATATCATTTCCTAGTTACCTGGGATCCCCTAACGCTTAGAGCAATTATGGGCATACAAGTCAACTAAGAACGTAGAAATTATCCCAGAAGAAAAGGGTGAGGTGCTGAATGCAATCAGATGAGTCGGAAAACCCCAACCCTGAAGGAACGGAAAGTTTTTAAACATTCTGTGGGGCGCGGTCGAAAATACATCTTGAACTTCAGGTGTTCCAAAGATCTCGGGAGGGAAAATATGTCACAAGTAACCAGCATAGGACTCGATGACGTGAATGGTAAAAAAGTAACGCGTACGGTCAGTGTATCGGGTTTGCTGACGGGTTTGGTAACTGGGGTCATGGATTCAATCACTAACAACAGGTTAAAAATCACGCGAATGGTCACACATGGAACTCCCGCCAAAATTTCTTGAAACTCTACAAAATTCCCGCTCGCGCCCAGCCAATCAGCTAACTTAGGAAAGAATCTAAAACCCAATCGGAATCGGATACGGTTTGGGAACGGATCAGCCCTAAACACCTGGCGAATTGTGTTCAGGGCTGATTCATCCGAAAATGCATCCAGGCTCGTTTTGGGTATTACCTTTTTTCGGCGAGAGTTTCGTCTGTGACCATTCGCGTTATTTTTTTTCCCAGTTGATTGTGACTGATTCCGTGAAACGTTTTCTCAAACATGTGAAAACACCCTTTGCAGTGACCGTACCCGTCGTTTCTTTACCAAACATATTATCGAGACCCTTCTTGATTACTAGTCGCATATATTCCCATTTCGGGAGACTGGCGATTCGTCTACTGTAGTTTCCCAGGCTGTACATGCATAAAGGTATTAGTATAACAGTTAAAAACAAATTGTTTTCTCATCTATGAGAGAGAACCCCATCTTTTATCTCACACCAAGATCTCCATTGAACAGCCCTCAAAATTAGCTAGGCGGGAAAATATAAACGTGTGGCCCTTTATTCTGCAAGAGAGACTTGCTATAGTCTCTGTGCACCACTATTCATAAGCCATAACAACCATAAGGCTGGATCCCATGTGGTACACCCAGTCTCCATTATTACAACACACCTCCAAGCAGACGGACTGCTAACTCTCATAATACATCCCCTTTTGTAGCCTTCTCCTTAACCAGCAGGAGCACCGCCGCACACATTCTTCCCGGCCGCTGCCTTTGAGCGATTGGCTTCAGCCGCACCATGATATCATCAAACTTGGGGCGGTCCTTGGGGTCACTGGGAAGCAAAAAGAGAGTGGAGAGGGGAGAGGCAGTGGCATGGGGCTGAGTCAGCTGGAATGAGCAATTGGCTTCAGCCGCACCGTGAAGTCGTCAAGCTTGGGACGCTCCTTGGGGTCACTGGGAGACAAGAAAAGGGAGACACGGGGTGTGTGCAGAGGGTGTGGGCAGAGGGCGGGGGAAGGCGGTGTGGCTTTCTAGTATAGTCGACCCAAGCCCGCCACAGAGCAACCACGATATCGTCAAACTTGGGGTGGTCTCTGGGGTGACTGGGAAGCACAAGGGAGAGATATGGGGTGTGGGCAGAGGACGAAACATGGGGTGATTTCTGAGTCTGCTCAGTCTTTCTTCAGCAAATCAGCCGCAGCATGATATCATCAAACTTGGGGCGGTCCCGGGTGTGACTGGGAGGCACACAGCGGGTGGAGAGTGGAGACATGGGAGTGGAGAGGGAGTACATGAGATGTGGGCAGCGGGAGTGACATGGGTTGTGGACAGAGGTGTGACATGGGTTGTGGGCAGAGGAACTTACTTGTGCCAGCAGTCGAGGATGAGTGTGGAGAGAGCCGGGTCGAGGTCAGGAGGGACGGTGAGGCGTTGGTTCTGGAATCCCACTGCTCCCACCACCTAGAATACGAGAGATACGGGAAGATGGGGGAGGTGGAAGTGAGGGGGGAGAGAGGAGAGTTGGCGCAGAACGGAAGACACTAGTCAACCTAGAGAGTCTGGGTTTTGAGTCGACTCAAAAGTCAACTCGCAGAACGGAAGACACTAGTCAACCTAGAGAGTCTGGGTTGGAGGTCAGGAGGGACGGTGAGGCGTTGGTTCTGGAACCCCACTGCTCCCACCACCTGGGGTAGAGGAGAGAGAGGAGGGAAATGGAGGGAGAGGAGTCAGAGCGGGTAGTGGGGAAGGTTGGAGCAGAATGGACGACCTGCATGCCTGCATGGGGTTCTCGCATCACATCGCATCACATCGCATCACATCACATCGCATCGCACCGCACCGCATCGCATCGCATCACATCACATCACAGACATACCTGCATAGGGTTCGAAGTTTGAACATATAGGCATGGGGTTCATATGACACTTTTAAACAAACAGGCATGGCGTTCCCGCGTACCTGCATGGGGTTCATGCCGTCCCATGGCTGCAGCAGCGTGACCAACTCCCACAGGATCACTCCAAAGCTGTACACATCCGACTTCTCATTGGACGGCTCGTTTCGCAACACCTCAGGCGCCATCCACTCGGGCTGAGGAGGGGAGGAGGGGGGCACACACGGGGAGGGGCATTGACAGAACGAGTGACTCAGTGCGGGAAAAATAAGAGGCATTCACAGAGTAAACGATGCCTGAGGCGGGCATTAACAGTGGAGGCTCGTTGTGGTGCAACACCTGAGGCGCCATCCACGCAGGCTGAGGAGGAGAGGAGGGGTTGGGCAGGTATGGACGGGGGAAGGAGATCACAGATACAAGGACTTTAAAGCCCTGCATGTTTGACTTCTCATTCACACGTCTACATGCTTGAGACGCATGCATGTGCAAGGGTAACATGCATGCACATGCACGGATAGCAAGCATACATCTGTGCACGTCTGGATGCATAACATACCATGCTTGCACATGGTTTTATTCACGCCTCACCATGCCTGCAAGCCTGATTTGGAGGAAAGGAAGGTGAGGCGTTCCACGTGGTCTTGTTGCGCAACATACCCAAATGGCTTATTGTTCTGAATAGGCCTCACACCTCCACGATATGCATGGCTCACCGCACCTGGTCTTGTTGCGCAACATACCCAAATGGCTCACCGCACCTGCACACTTTTGAGACGTCTCCAAAGAGACAAACGCTATGATTGCCTCGCATCACATGACACATACCGTTCCGGCGCCCGATTTGGAGGAGAGGAAGGTGCTGTTCTTGTTGCGAGATAGACCAAAGTCGCAGACCTGCCAGGGAGCAAAGCGGCCACACATGTCCAGAGAAGAGTTGTCATGTTATTGACAGTCTGTGAGTGTCTCCATAGGGTTTTGAAACGACTTCAAAGTTTCAGACCTGCCAGGGAGCGAAACAACTACACACGTGCAGACAAGATGCTTCCACTTATAAATCACAAGGCAGAACTAAAAAAAAAACTGAAAGCCGAGAAGTTCAAATAACATTTTCATTTTTCATTGCTTTGTTAAAAAAAAAAAAAATCTATTGTTTCATTTTGTTTCCAAATAACATGCATGCCCCTTTACCTTGACTGTGAAATTTTTGTCCACGAGTAGGTTGGGAGTCTTGAGATCACGATGCACAATCATGGGCGTGCAATGGTGCAGATAGTTGATGCCTCGCGCCTGGCAGGGTGTGGCATGGGAGGGAGGGAGAAGGCGGGTTGTGGGGGGGGAAGTTGGGGGGAGGGAGGAGAGAGAGGGGGGGAAGTGGGGGTGTGGGAAGGGGTGGGAAGGGGTGGGAAGGGGTGGGAAGGGGTGGGAAGGGCCGAGGGGAGGGTCTATCAGAGAGAAGGGGAGGCAGGGAGGGGCTTCTGAGTCAAAACAACAGGCATGGAAGATGATGGTTGGGATGACTCAAGATCAAACAACAGGCATGAAAGATGAATGGTTGGGTTGACTCAAGATCAAAACAACAGGCATGGAAGATGATGGTTGGGTTGACTCAAGATCAAAACAACAGGCATGGAAGATGATGGTTGGGTTGACTCAAGATCAAAACAACAGGCATGGAAGATGATGGTTGGGTTGACTCAAGATCAAAACAACAGGCATGGAAGATGATGGTTGGGTTGACTCAAGATCAAAACAACAGGCATGGAAGATGATGGTTGGGTTGACTCAAGATCAAAACAACAGGCATGGAAGATGATGGTTGGGTTGACTCAAGATCAAAACAACAGGCATGGAAGATGATGGTTGGGTTGACTCAAGATCAAAACAACAGGCATGGAAGATGATGGTTGGGTTGACTCAAGATCAAAACAACAGGCATGGAAGATGATGGTTGGGTTGACTCAAAATCTGATCGTGCATGATGTGCATGAATGGGGATTGTGCATGGTTGTTGTGAAGTGGTGCATCTCCCCACCCTTCCCCACCCCTTCCTTGATCGGACTGTGCCACAGTCCACTAAGGTTTAACCCATGCCAACCGCCCATGCCATCCGCCCATGCACTCTCTTCCCATTCACCTCCCATGTCCCCTCGGCCAATCCCTCCCCCCACTACCCACCCACAACCCATGGTCATCATGGGGATGCGTCGATTCTCCTAAAGCACCTCCTTTGCCCCAACAACTCAACGTGTGCGGCGGTCTATGGCAGGCTTAACACGCTGAGGCTCCTTGAGTGTCCACGTGTGTGCAAAGGGATGTGGTGTGCCTGGCATGGCTGCTTACCCCCTTTCGCACACCACATCCCTTACCCCTGGCATCCCTCCCCCACTTCACCCCAAGTGTCCACGGTCATGGGGATGCGACGATCCTCCTAGAGCGTCTCTATTGCCCCCGTTCCCCCTTCCCAATGCACCACCCACAGAGCAACCCCAATCGCTCGTGATCCCCCCACACTCTCCCTCCCCCTTCTCTCCTCCCGCTTTCTCTCTCTTCCCCCCCACCCACAATATCCATGGCCATGCAAATGCGCCGGCCCTCCTTTAGCGTCTCCTTTGCCCTCGTCTCATCTTCTCCCCCCCACCCCCCCCCCCCCAATGTACCCACAGAGAAATCCCAGTCGCCCATGAACCCCCAAAACCCCACCGTTCCACACTCTCCTCCCCTCCCCTCCCCCCCCTTGACACACAATACCCATGGCCACGCGAATGCGTCGGTCCTCCTTTAAGCTCTCCTTCAGCCCACCGCACCAACCCAATGCACCCAGGAACCAACCCAATGCACCCAGGGAACCAACCCAATGCACCCAGGGAACCAACCCAATGCACCCAGGGAACCACCCAATGCACCCAGGGAACCAACCCAATGCACCCACCCAGGGAACCAACCCAATGCACCCAGGGAACCAACCCAATGCACCCAGGGAACCAACCCAATGCACCCACCCAGGGAACCAACCCAATGCACCCAGGGAACCAACCCAATGCACCCAGGAACCAACCCAATGCACCCAGGGAACCAACCCAATGCACCCAGGGAACCAACCCAATGCACCCAGGGAACCAACCCAATGCACCCAGGGAACCAACCCAATGCACCCACCAGGGAACCAACCCAATGCACCCAGGGAACCAAACCCAATGGCACCCAGGGAACCAACCCAATGCACCCAGGGAACCAACCCAATGCACCCAGGGAACCAACCCAATGCACCCAGGGAACAACCCAATGCACCCAGGGAACCAACCCAATGCACCCAGGGAACCAACCCAATGCACCCAGGGAACCAACCCAATGCACCCAGGGAACCAACCCAATGCACCCAGGGAACCAACCCAATGCACCCAGGGAACCAACCCAGCCCGCCTATGAAACCCCTCCCCCCCTCCCTTTTCCCCACTCCCTCCCCCCTCCCCCTTCCCCCGAACCCACAATATCCATGGCCATGCGAATACGTCGGTCCTCCTTCAAAGTTTCCTTAGCCCCTGGCCGATGCAGCAGACGAAACAGACTTCCCCTGCAGTGGGGAGAGGCGGAGGGAGAGGGGAGGGGAGGGAGGAGGGAGGAGGGAGGAGGGAGGAGAGGGAGGAGAGGGGGCAAGGGAGGAGAGGGAGGGAGGTGGCGAGGGAGGAAAGGGTATTTGAGAAAAATGGACGGACGGGTATATTGGAGATGCAAGGAAGGAAGAGTATATCTGAGAATATTTCAGTAGAATCAAGAGCCGCCGAGGAAATCTGTGAGCATGGAGAGGCTTGGTGACTCTTTTAATCGACTCTAAAGCAGGTAAACGCCTGACAGGCACCACCCATCCTATGGTCGGGGAGCCTATTTTTTTAGCCTGTTTTTTCCTACTTGCTTAAGCCTAAACCTAGGCACTGCTGCTCACTGGAATTATGTCAGAGGATCTCTAAAGCAGGTAAACCCCTGACAGGCTCCACCCATCCTATGGTTGGGGAGAAAGATTCTCACCTGCTAAGGAACTCTGTGAGGATGGAGAGGTGGGGCGGCTTGGTAACCGCTCCCATGAAGAGCACTATGTTGGGATGGCGCAGACGGCGCATGATGACCACCTGTGAGAGAAGGGGGGCACGGGGGAAAGGAAATGTCAACCAATTCAGAGGGGAAGGTAAACAAAGTGAGAGGGCTTGGTGAGTGTTGCTCCCATGAAGAGCGCTATGTTGGGATGGCGCAGACGACGCATGATGACTCCCTAGAGGGAGGGGGAAGGAGAGGCGGGAGAGAGAAGTGACAAGAGAGGAGAGAAGAGGAACCTCCTGAACGTTATAGATCGGAACAGCCAGAGGGTGTTTGAAGTTGACTCAAAACACGTTATTGATCGGAATGCAAGAATAGCCAGAGGGTGTTTGAAGTGTAGTTTTGAGACATCTCAAACAAATAGCCAGAGGGTTCAGTAAACAATGTTGGGCTCGGACCAAGCAGCAGCCGCCGCTACTGCATCTCTCCTGCGTCGACTCGACTCAAGACTCGAAGGCCATAGCATGCCTCATTATAGTCAGGAGCACACATCTCGTTGATTACAGACACGTATATACCTCTCATTCGAACGCATACCGCTAGTTTCTCTCGCATCAAAGCTCAGATTTGATGTACCTCTTGCATTTCTTGATCATTCGTACCTCTTGTTTGAACTCCAGCAGCTGCTCCTACTGCATGTTCTGGTTGATCAACACCTTTGATATAAGCATGCATCTCATTATAAGCATGCACCTCGTTGTAAGCATGTACCTCATTATAAGCATGCACCTTGATATAAGCATGTGACGCAGTCACCCAGTGGCGTACCTCTCGTTTGAACTCAAGCAACTGCTCCTCCTGCATGTCCTGGTTGATAAGCACCTTCACTGCCACATCCTGTGTGCGTGGAGGAGCCGAGAGATGAGAAAAAAGTGGTGCGCAGTGCAATGTGAGGAAGGACGTGCATATCACGGCGGGTTTGCGCTAAGAAGCAGAAATAAGACCGCTGGGGATGAGAATCCACGCAGCGGAAAAGTGAATGCCAACGAGAAGAGGAAATGATGAGGCTGTTTTTGAGTCGACTCAAAACCTGTTTTTGAGTCTGTTTTTGAGTCGGCTCAAAAACAGCCTGTTTTTGAGTCGACTCAAAAACAGAATCCACGCAGTGGTAAAGTGAATGCCAACGAGAAGAGGAAATGATGAGGCGAAAACGAGGAAGAGAGGAGGGTGGGAGCAGGTGAGGAGACAAGGAGGCGAGGAGGCGATAGGGGGAAGAAGGGAGGAGGGGAGGAGGAGCAGGAGACTCACACAGCCAGCCCACTCGGCGCGGTACACCGTACCGAAGGAACCTGGCAAGGACACAGGGGCACGAAAAAATGGACGCGAGGGGGGTGGGGAGGGGGTGAAAGGGGAAGGGGTTCAGTAGTGTGCGGCCTGAAGAGTGACTAGGAAGGGTGGCTAGGAAAGGTGGCTCTGAAGAGTGATTGAAGTGCTTTGAGAAGCTCAAGGCCTGTAATGTGGTTTACCTGCACCGCATCTGACTAGCACAGACCTCACCTGCGCCCACCCTCTCCCCCATCTCGATGTCGTTCCAGTCAATCTCCGCCTCGCCAATGTCCATGATGCGCCCATCCATCAGCACATCCAATCAGACACCTCTCAACCGCACTGCACCGCACACCACCTCCCTCAACCCCCTCTCACCTGCGCCCACCCTCTCCCCCATCTCGATGTCGTTCCAGTCAATCTCCGCCTCGCCAATGTCCATGATGCGCCCATCCATCAGCACATCCAATCAGACCTCTCAACCGCACTGCACCGCACACCACCTCCCTCAACCCCCTCTCACCTGCGCCCACCCTCTCCCCCATCTCGATGTCGTTCCGGTCAATCTCCGCCTCGCCAATGTCCATGATGCGCCCATCCATCAGCACATCCAATCAGACACCTCTCAACCGCACTGCACCGCACACCACCTCCCTCAACCCCCTCTCACCTGCGCCCACCCTCTCCCCCATCTCGATGTCGTTCCAGTCAATCTCCGCCTCGCCAATGTCCATGATGCGCCCATCCATCAGCACATCCATAAATTCCACTCCTGCATCCGCCGCCTCGTCGTCTGCTGGGGGTGCCGCCTCCTGCTTCGGTGCTTTCGCCTGTTGGTGGGGTAAGGGAGGGAGAGGAAGGGAGAGGGGTGTGGAAGGGTCGTCCATCCATCACCACGTCCATCAACTCAACCCCTGCATTGGTTGCCTCGTCTTCTGCTGCTGCCTCCTGCTTTGGCGCCTCAGCCTTGGCTTTGGGCTGAGGGAGAGGTGAAGAGGGGGAGGGTGGGTGGGGGGTGAGGCAGGAAGGGAGGAGGGGAAGAAGGGAGGCAAGCAGAACGCAAGGGGTCAAGGGCTCAGCCCGAGTTGTCCATGAGCTGCCCGAGTTGTCAGATCCCAACCCCCGATGTCCATGAGCCCAGCCATCCATGATGCGTCTGTGAACCCCATGAACCGCATAAACCGCATGAACCCCATGAACCGCATGAACTGCATGAACCGCATGAACTGCATGAACCGCATGAACCGCATGAACCCCATAAACCCCATGAACCGCATGAACCGCATGAACCGCATGAACCCCATGAACCCCATGAACCGCATGAACCGCATGAACCGCATGAACCCCATGAACCCCATGAACCCCATGAACCGCATGAACCGCATGAACCGCATGAACCCCATGAACCCATGAACCCCATGAACCGCATGAACTGCATGAACCCCATGAACCCATGAACCCCATGAACCCTATGAACCGCATGAACTGCATGAACCCATGAACCCCATGAACCCCATGAACCGCATGAACTGCATGAACCCCATGAACCCCATGAACCCCATGAACCGCATGAACTGCATGAACCCCATGAACCCACCCATGCAGGCAGCATTCACTCCTCCTGCTTCTCCTCTTCCTCCGCTTCCCCTCCCTCTCCCCACCGCCCTGAGCTTCCCTCTCTTCCTCGTCCTCTCCTCTCCACCCTAGAAAACAAAACCCACTCCCCTTCTTCTTCCCCTCCTCCTCCCTGCTGCCCTTCTTCTGAGGTTTCTTATCCTCCTCGTCGCTATCCTCCTCCACATGTACGCACCCCCATCCTCTTACCTATCTTACTCCAGGCAACCCAAAACAACCCACTCACCTTCTTCTTCCCCTCGTCCTCCTCCCCGCCGCCCTTCTTCCCGGCCTTCTTCTGCGGCTTCTTCTCCTCCTCCTCCTCGCTGTCCTCTTCCTCCTCCACCTCTTTGAGCTCCTTCCGCCGCCTCTCCCCCTTGGGCGATGCAGCCACGTGCCGCGGGTCCTTGGGCCCTCCCGCGTAAATTCGCCTTGATCCCACCATCGCCTCCGCATCCTGCTCCTGCTGCTGCCTGGTGATTGGGAAACAAGGGGGAGAGACATGGGGATAATGGGTGAAAGAGAGGAGGAGGAGGGATAAGGGTCCTTGGGCCCTCCACGTAGATGTGCCTCGATCCCACCATCGCCTCTGCATCCTGCTCCTGCTGCTGCCTCCTCATTGGGGCAGGGTGAGTGAGGTGAGGAAGGCGGGAGAGGGATGGAAAGGGCCAGCAGTGGAAAGAGGAGATCAGTGGAACGGGTCGAGGAGATTACGAGGCAGCAAGGCCTGCCAGCAAGGCCTGCGAGCGCGAGAGATATGTTGAACCTAGCGCGTACGTCCCCTTTATCAGAAGGAGCAAAAGCCTTCCCCAGGTCTCACCTTCTGAAGTCCGGCACCCATTGCGGCACCGTGCCGTCCGCAGGGTCCGTGAGCGCGAGAGATTTGATCTCCGGGCAGCGCAGGGGCGAGGCGATGTAAGTGGCGTTGGTGGCGGTGCTGGTGGCTGACTCTGCCGAGGGCTCGATGGTGAGGAGAGTGCCTGGCCTCTGCAGCAGATCCACGACATATTCCCTGTGTGTGTGTTGGGGAGAGGAGAAAGAATGGGGGGGATCATAAGCAGGTGGCGTTGGTGGCGGTGCTGGTGGCAGACTCTGCCGAGGGCTCGATGGTGAGGAGAGTGCCTGGGCGCTGCAGCAGATCCACCACGTACTCTCTGTGTGTGGCGGGAGGAAGAGAGGAGGGAGGGAGTGAGTGAGCAACGGGAAGGGAGAATGCTGCTGCTGGTGGCTGACCCGGCCGAGGGCTCGATTGTGAGCAGCGTGCCTGGGTGCTGCAGCAAGTCGACCACATACTCCCTGAGTGGAAGTGGGGGAAGATGGATGGGGGGAGGACGGTGGAGGGGAGGGGAAAGGGCAGGAGGGGAAAGGAGGAGGATGCCCATTTCACCTAGAGTGAATGTTGTGTGAGTCAACTCAGAGCCCGCCCCGTACCCAGGTGAGCACAAATAAGAATGCCCCATCGTCACCACTTTTGAATACGCAATGGCATGCCCATCCCATTACCCCAGCACCAGCGCCATTGTGCATTCAAAAGGGCGTGAGATGCTGTGTGAGTCAATTTTTTAGGCGCCTAAAAAATCAACTCTTTTGATTGCAATGGCAATCCCATTACCCCAGCGCCGACACCATTGTGCATTCAAAAGGGCGTGAGATGCTGTGTGAGCCAACTCAAAATCACTCAGCACTCACCTCTCATCACTGGCGAGCACAAGGCACGAGGCTCTGTCGTCCATGCCACAATTCCCCAGCACCTACAGGTACCGCAGTGCACCTGGCCAGACTCCACTGGCTCACCTCTCATCACTGGCAAGCACAAGGCACGAGGCCCCATCGTCCATCCCACAGAACTTGCATCCCTTCTGGATACGACACACTCACACGGGGCATGGCCATTTCCCCAACCCAGGTCGAGATGCCTATTTGCTCACCTCTCGTCACTGGCAAGCACAAGGCACGAGGCCCCATCGTCCATCCCACAGAACTTGCATCCCTTCTGGATACGACATGGCATGCCCAGCGCTGTCCGCCAACACCTGGTCATGGGGGAGCGGCGGGGGAGGGAGGAGGGTTTGTGGGGGTGAGGTGAGGGGAAGTCGGGAAAATAACATGTGCGCCATCGTCCATGGCACAGAACTTGCACCCGCCATCGTCCATGCCGTAGAACTTGCACCTCTTCTGGATACGACATGGCATGCCCAGTGCGTCTGCCAGCACCTGGTAATTGGGGAGCGGACGGGGGAGGGAAGGCGGGAAGGTTGGGGTAAAAGTAGGGGAAGAGAAATAGAACGAAGGGGACGAAGAACGAATGGGGACAGGAGAAAAGAATGTGTGCTATGAAACAGAGGATGCACCCCCACTGAATTCGACAGGCCTGCCTACATTCCTTGTGCCTCTACTCCACTCCATTCTCTCACCGCTCTGCACTCCTCCTCACCGCACTGCACGCACCTTGAAGAGCAGGGCGCGGTGGCGGCAGATCCCACGGGCAGCTGGCCGATGGGCAGCACGATGGTCTTGAGGTAGCTCTTGATCTCCCACCCCCGCTGCCTGAACCGCGGGATCAACTCGTTGGGCTCTGAGTTCACCGCGCCTCTGGAGTGGGTGGGATTTGTGGGAATGGACGGGGACAGGAGTGGAGAGAAAAGGAGAGGGGATTGAGTCAGTCAGCTAAACGCTCTTTCGCAGTGGCTATTATGGCTTCGGTGTGCTCCTTGGCAGCTGGCTGGCTGGCCGATGGGCAGCACAATGGTCTTGAGGTAGCTCTTGATCTCCCACCCGCGCTGCCTGAACCGCGGGATCAACTCGTTGGGCTCTGAGTTCACCGCGCCTCTGGAGTACAGGTTACGGACGGGGGAAGGGGGGATGCGGGGAGTTGTGGGGGGGTTGGGGGAGGATGGATGATTTGGAGTCTTCTCCTGCAGCGTGCTTGCGTGCATACGTGCGTGGTTGCATGGGGTACCAGGCAGACCGCACCGCAGGCGACTCACTCACCCCATGTGATGAGCCACCAAGACTCCCAGCTTCTGCGCCAGAGTCTGCACCTCGGTGGCAGCATACGCCTCAGTGGTTCACCGCCTCATCCTCCAGGTCCTTCAATTGACTTTTGAGTCGACTCAAAAGTCACCCCAGAGTCTGCACCTCAGTGGCAGCATACGCCAGGTTTTGAGTCGACTCAAAAGCAGCCTCAGTGGCAGCATACGCCAGGTTTTGAGTCGACTCAAAAGCAGCCTCAGTGGCAGCATACGCCTCAGTGGTTCACCGCCTCATCCTCCAGGTCCTTCAATTCAGCATCGATGGTGCGGATGATGAGCGCCACGTCAAAACGACGCCCAGAGGAGCTATCAGAGGCAGGCAAGCAGGCACTCACCCCATATGATGCGCCACCAGCACGCCCAGCTTCTGCGCGAGTGTCTGCACCTCGGTGGCAGCATAAGCGAGGTTAACTGCTTCATCCTCCAGGTCCTTCAGCTCCGCATCAATGGTGCGGTTGATGAGCGCCACGTCAAACGACGCCCAGAGGAGCTATCAGAGGCAGGCAAGCAGGCACTCACCCCATATGATGCGCCACCAGCACGCCCAGCTTCTGCGCGAGTGTCTGCACCTCGGTGGCAGCATAAGCGAGGTTAACTGCTTCATCCTCCAGGTCCTTCAGCTCCGCATCAATGGTGCGGTTGATCAGCGCCACGTCAAACGACGCCCAGAGGAGCTATCAGAGGCAGGCAAGCAGGCACTCACCCATATGATGCGCCACCAGCACGCCCAGCTTCTGCGCGAGTGTCTGCACCTCGGTGGCAGCATAAGCGAGGTTAACTGCTTCATCCTCCAGGTCCTTCAGCTCCGCATCAATGGTGCGGTTGATCAGCGCCACGTCAAACGACGCCCAGAGGAGCTATCAGAGGCAGGCAAGCAGGCACTCACCCCATATGATGCGCCACCAGCACGCCCAGCTTCTGCGCGAGTGTCTGCACCTCGGTGGCAGCATAAGCGAGGTTAACTGCTTCATCCTCCAGGTCCTTCAGCTCCGCATCAATGGTGCGGTTGATCAGCGCCACGTCAAACGACGCCCAGAGGAGCTATCAGAGGCAGGCAAGCAGGCACTCACCCATATGATGCGCCACCAGCACGCCCAGCTTCTGCGCGAGTGTCTGCACCTCGGTGGCAGCAATAAGCGAGGTTAACTGCTTCATCCTCCAGGTCCTTCAGCTCCGCATCAATGGTGCGGTTGATCAGCGCCACGTCAAACGACGCCCAGAGGAGCTATCAGAGGCAGGCAAGCAGGCACTCACCCCATATGATGCGCCACCAGCACGCCCAGCTTCTGCGCGAGTTGTCTGCACCTCGGTGGCAGCATAAGCGAGGTTAACTGCTTCATCCTCCAGGTCCTTCAGCTCCGCATCAATGGTGCGGTTGATCAGCGCCACATCAAACGACGCCCAGAGGAGCTATCAGAGGCAGGCAAGCAGGCACTCACCCCATATGATGCGCCACCAGCACGCCAGCTTCTGCGCGAGTGTCTGCACCTCGGTGGCAGCATAAGCGAGGTTAACTGCTTCATCCTCCAGGTCCTTCAGCTCCGCATCAATGGTGCGGTTGATCAGCGCCACGTCAAACGACGCCTCGCTCGGGTGCAGCGCGCGCAGGGAGTCGAGCGGCGGCATGCGGCCGCGGTGGGAGGAGTCCACGCAGAGCGAGTAGACGTACGGCTGCATGCCCCAAATGTCGTAGAACCCGTCCTCGATACGATCCTCGTAGCTGAGACATCCATTGACCTGCGTGTACGGGGGTGTGTGCGTGTATGGGGGAACGGGGGAGGGAGTAGGGGGTCAATCAGCATTTTGCGAGCTGCTTCGGGTTGCACCAATCAAGTAGTGTAAGGAGTGGGGTGCAGCGGGCGCAGGGAGTCGAGGGGAGGCATGCGGCCGTTGTGGAAGGAGTCCATCCAGAGCGAGTAGACGTGCGGCTGCATGCCCAGATGTCGTAGAACCCGTCCTCGATACGATCTTTCATAAACTCAGGCATCCATGGACCTGCGTGTACGGGGGTGTGTGCGTGTGAAACAAGAGGGGTAAAGAGGGTTCAGAGCGAGTAGACGTACGGCTGCATGCCCCAGATGTCGTAAAAGCTGTCCTCTATACGGCCCTCAGAACTCAGACACCCGTTCACCTGTAAGAGTGGGGGCCGTGTATGTGTGTGAATCAATGGGGAAACGGGGGGGAAAGGGCCAGAGCGAGTACATACGGCTGCATGCCCCAGATGTGCGGTCACTTGTAGCTCAGGCATCCGTTCACCTGTGGGGCGTGGGGACGTGCCAGTGCCGCGCGTGCGTGGGAAGGTGGGAAGCTGGGAGAAGAAGAAAGTAGGCCTCGCCTTGGTCTCATCTCATTACCTTCGAAAGCAGGCCTCGCCTTGCTCTCATCTCATTACCTTCGAAAGCAGGCCTCGCCTTGGTCTCATCTCATTACCTTCGAAAGCAGGCCTCGCCTTGGTCTCATTCTACTTACCTTCGAAAGCAGGCCTCGCCTTGGTCTCATTCATTACCTTCGAAAGCAGGCCTGGACTGATCCCTCGTAGCTCAGGCATCCATTACCTCTTCTGATCGAGACAATTATCTTACCAGAAGCGGTAGGGCTGTGGCTTCAGCCTGGCTACGTGGCAATGAGCGGACTGGCCCAGAGCAGTCGTTGGGGTTCGCCTGAGGGGGCGCCATTCCGTCTCCTCCGCCATCTCCGCGTCCTACTATCAGCCGCAGCGCCACCGCCACCTGATATCAGGCGGCAAAGCATGGAGAAGGAAACTTTGTGGATGTGGTGCAGTCAGTAAGGTATTGTGATTCATGCATATCGCCCTCCGTCTCCTCTGCCAAGACCGCTTCCTCTGGGCTATCAGGCGGGAAAGCGTCACTGCCACATGCTATCAGGCGGTAAAGGCATGGAGATAGCAAAACATGCTCGGGAGAACAGGCTGAAGATAACACAAGGTAGCATGCATGCATACACACCTCTTTAGCGTGTCCGTACGTGCTTGGTACACCACAGCTGTGTAACGAGTCCGCACCTGTAAAGAGTACATCTCCTCGGCCTTTTGGAAGTAGCTCCGGTCACTCTGCTTCCTCCGCGCGTGCGCCGCCTGTAGCGCCGCCACCACCGGGCCCCCACCCGCTACGTCATCATTATCCAACGTCAGCATCTCGCTTGCCACGCTCCTTCCCCGGGGCTCTCCGCGGAGACCGGAAACCCCCCGCCCCCGCGCTCCGCCCCCGCTCCTCCCCCCAGGCGGGGCGCGGGGCTTCCCCCCACGGCATCACCTGCGCGCTCGGCTCCCCGTCCGAACTGCTTGCGAAGCTCATAGCTCCGCGCGACGGCGGACGGCGGATGGACACGGGCGGAGACGGCCCGTCCCTGGAAAACCCTCCCCCGGGTCCGCCCGGCGTGCCTGCCGCGGCTATAGCCGCAGCGGCAGCGGCGGCGGCGGCTTCCGCCTCCGCGTTCGACACTACCGAGGATAAGCTGGTTCGCTTCTCGGGCCCGGCCATGCGCGACTCGCCGATGCCGCCGCCAAGATTGCTGCTACGGTCGATACCGTTGCGTTCCTCGGGCTTTAACTGGCCCGGACTCGGCTGGCCCGAAAACCGGATAGAGTTAAAAATGGCCAGCCGGTTCGCTTCCGCCGCCGCCTTTGCCGCTGTGACCTCGGGATCCTCCCCCGAAGGTTCCGCGTCTTTCGCGCTCTGCTGCCGCGCGGCGATCATTTCGGATATTGCGCTTCCGCCGCCGCTCCCCCTTTCTCTGCTTTCCGAGCCGCGATCATGTCCGCAAACGTGCCACGTGGCCCTCCTTTCTCCGGCGTCGGAAGCCGCTTCTCCACGGAGGGAGCTTTACCCGGAAACATCGGCGCGGGAGCGGGAGACGAGTCGACTACTTCCGAACCTCCCGCATTCTCGTTCGGTATCCGGACGTGCAGCGGAGAGGTCCCCCGCGACCGTGGAGCAGGCCGCTCCTTTTCTCGTGCTTTCTCTCGTTCCCGAGCTAGTCTGTTTCGGCTCAGAGACGACGGGCCGTTCTTGGACTTTTCTGCCGGAGGGCTGTCCTGCATTGCGGCTGCTAAGGCCGGGTCTTCGGCCATCATCTCAGCCGCCATGGCTTGGAGCATAGCCAAATCCATGGCTGCCGTTAACTTGATGGGAAACTAAGACTGGTATAAGTAGGTATGATGCTTTCTAGCTTTCCCTGGCCGGATAGCTGGAAGCGGGATGCCAGCTGGATGCACAGATAGAGTCAGTTAGCGTCTGCTAGTGCCGGCTAATGCGAACTGTTGCTTGGCAATGTGAAAAGCAGAAAAGGAGTGGACGCGCTCGAAGGCGACATTACGTGCTAGGACAGTCGCGGCGGAACGTAACTTTTCTACAGCATGCTTGTTGACAAAGAGGGTTTTTTCTGCTGGCGACACGGTCCACTAACGAAGCGAGATACATTGAAGTAACACAACTTCAGACACGAACGCAGCAGTGATAAAAGTATCTTCAGTAATACAAGTTCCGCTTTTAAACGTAAGAAAAACTGTCAGTATTTTCAGTAAGACACCCCAATGCCGTAGGACTAGATCATCAGAGACATGACTGAAGGAAGCCTACTGTCCTAGAAAATGCGTCAAATTAGGTCATGAGATGAGAGTACAGCAGCTTAGTCAGTGCTATGCTCAGCTCACCACTTATGGCGGGAACCAGGTTGGGTTAGGTGAGGCTAGTGACCTTGGGATTGGTTCGGCGAACGTCAGTCTAGCTAGCGATATCAGTTCCGACCTTTGGCGAAGACGGAACTACATGGAACACCAATTTTGGCGAAAGAAGGAGAATGGTAACGTTCTTCATTCAAGCTGTTTCGATCTGAACCATCAGCAGCGCCACAGATTGGTGGGCATGGTGCTAATACTCTTATTATTCCAATGAATATAATCGCTAATACTTTACGTATCCGAACATCCCAGCGCAATTCGGTCGTCGGAGCCGAATTGCCAGTG